TGCCTCATGAGCAAACTTCCATCTTTATCAGTCTTATTACTAGCTTAGTGAGGTAAAGGAGTGTGTCTGTGGCCGGGGATAGAACCCAGGGCCACATGAGGAGTGGTTGGCGAGCACTCTACCACTGTTCCGCCGACGCACATTGGTCAGTAGTCACAATAAAATCACAAATTGATTGAAGTTGGAATTCACGGGTGATTGAACCGAATCTCAGTGGCTAAATGTTCTACGGGGCTTATCTTGTATCCGGAAAGTAGAGAGTGTGAACCCCCCAAAGGGTGTGTTCTGCTGAGAAAAAGTCCCAAACTAGCAAGAAAGCGCTCTACAGTAGTCCCCTTCCGGTTTCCGGTGGTTCCCTTAATAAGATCAATCCGTAGTCAAACTTGAAACAAAACAAATCCCAGTTGAGTAATTCTCGAAAAGAAAACATTTGACTATTTCATTTGAATAAGGAAGAAAGAATGTGTACTGTTTTTGTTATGTAAAAATTATTACTGATAGTGTCTATCATTCCAGTCTAATATCTTTCATGATAAAAAATAATTTAAATTAAATGTCACATTGTATATTTGCGAATAGTGGGAATAGTAAGGGAACAGTAAAAAGAAAACTGTATAAATTTGTTATCCCACCTGAAAAAGGACGTAATATACACTTCCCTGCATAGGTTGATCTTGTTTATGGAATCGGAAAAGTCTTACAAATCAAGTAAAATGATTCATTCACTGTTTTGTCAGTTCTAAAAGTGATACCAGAGTGTGTACAAAACAACTGTTATGCTTGTTTGGACATTGTCATTCAATATTTATATATATATGTATACACTTGGCATAGACCATCTGTCTTTATAGCTATTGTTGTGTTCGTTAATAAACCCGTTAATAATAATAATAACAACGAAATATATTATTAACAATAACAATAATAATAACATCTTTATTTTGGACAGTATTTATAAAATGTACAGGATTTTCAGAGGAGTTTATTTATTGCATGATATTTTCCCTTGGAACAACAATAATTTCAAGTGAAATATTAATTCATTGACAGTATGTCCTGTGACACATTGGTCTCTGGGCTGAAGCATATACCATTCCACTATAATAATATCTGCCTTGTCTCTTTCAAGAAATCCACGATATCTGGTTGAAAGCCAATTGTAAGATGTTCAGAAGTACATTTTAAGACCCAAGGACACGACTGAAGAACAGTTGTTTCATGTATTGCAACATGTTGTCACCCATAGTCATGCAATTCTTCAAATTTAGTTATTATTATTTCCTTTAGTTCCTAGAGGAACATAGGGCTTCAGCCATGCGTCTCCATTGCGTTCGGTTCTCTGCTAGAGTTTTCACCTGGCTCCAAGTCTGCCCATGCGCTTTCAATTCTTCTTCACATGATCTCCTCCAGGTCACCCTTGGACGACCAACTCGCCGCTTCCCTTTCGGGTTCCACTCAAGCAATGGCTTGTCTAGTGATGTCACTTGATGGTTTCCTCAGAGTGTGGCCAATCCATCTCCATTTCTTCCTGCCTATTTGTTTCACAATCGGTTCCTGGTTGGTTCGCTCCCAGAGATCTTTGTTGCTGATCCTTTCCGGCCATCTGATCTTGAGTATTGAGCGAAGACATATGTTAATGAAGGTCTGTAGCTTGTTTGAGGTGCTCTTTGTGACACGCCAAGTCTCTGATCCGTATAGTAGTACTGACTTCACATTGGAGTTGAAAATACGGATCTTATTTTTGACGCTGAATGCTGTTGACCTCCACACAGACTTGAGAGTAATGAAAGCTTGCCTTGCTTTCCCGATCCTTGCTTTGATGGATCGGGAAAACAAGGCAAGCTTTCAAATTTAGTAGGAACTTGCGAATCAGAAGCTTGTAAACATTTTGAATAGATACACGAGAGTAGATAATACCAATAGAGATCATATGCTAATAGATTAAAACAAACCGAAAGAAAGAAAATATATGCAACATAGACAGAGGGAAGATTTTTGTAGCCCAATTTTTAAGCAGGCCGCCAACCAATACAGAATGCAGTACGCTGACTGTACGTTGAATTAATTTAGAAGGATATATGACGTGATTTTGATGCTATTCAACGAATACACTAGGACATTGGACGAATATTAAGCTACGAAATGGGTAAACCTTATGTCTTTTTTAGACTTCACAAGATATATTATTACAGTGGTGAAAGTTAAAAGAATATACGAAAGAACAGTAGTAGTAGTAGCAGTGGCAGACCGTGTCGTTTAATTTGACTAATACTATGTAGACAGTAATCCTTTGGACCGACAAGCATACTATAGAAGATCTGGCGTTGGCGGACGATTTACGTTTAGTGTCATACAAACTAGAACATCTATGAGTGAGGAACAAACAAGTTGACAGGAAAGGCAGCGAAGACAGGATTTCAAGTGAATGTAGGGTTGGCACAGTTGATGAAGACACCTTAACCAACAACAACAAGAACAACAAGCACCAGTCGTTATCAAAAGAAGTAATCTGAAGGGAGAGACTTCTTTCACTTACTCCGACAACGTCGTCTTTACTGCAGGCGAATGGCACCGATGAGAATGTCAAATAAGGGGGTGAAAAAAGCAAGAAAGGTACTTATTATTTTGAAGTCAACGTGTAAATCCGCTACAATCAACACAGGGAACAACAAGATTAAGACTATCAATACTAATTTCAAGCCCATCAGTCCTTCTATTTGGTTCAGATACATGGCTAATGCGTCACCAAAAAGAATTCGGAACAGACATCAGGCGTCTGTCAACAGCTAACTTTACTCCATATTGGGGAACAGATGGTCAGAAAAGATTAACAATATGGAACTCTAGCAACCAACTAACCAAAAACCCATAGTCTGGCAAATATTTAGAAGAAGATGGAGATGGATTGTACGTACACTGAGAAGACCTTTGAGTGGAGATGACGAGTTGTGCGTATGAGGGTAACATAGGGGAATTCATGAGACAAGAAGATGAGAATTTATGGGCAATTGTAGAGGTGGCCACAGAGAACTGTGAGGGACGGGAGTAAATGGGTATGTGTTGTTGACTCCTTACGTTCCCCTCTCAACCTTAGGGAATAATTATTCGTAATCAGTTCAAAAATCTAATGACGAATGTAGGCCTACAGTTCAACAAACCATTTATACAGATACATATTCCCGTAATTAAAACACAATATTCTGGTAAAGAATATGATAGAAAATTTCGATAGGGTTGAATGAGAAGTGATTTGGAAACTACTTCAACACTAAAGGATGCCGCAACGTCTTACACACCTAATTCAACATATATATGATGATGCTATATGTAATGATTCACAAAGGAAAGCTCGGAGATTTCTGAGAAAGGAAGACAGGAGTAAGACAGGACTACCTACTATCACTGATGATACTCCTCATGGTGGTGGACTGGATCACGCAACAGGCCGTGCATGGAGTCGAAAAGACAGTAGTTCGTTGGATTGGCGAGAGGACTTTTGAAGATTTGAACTTCGTGGACTATTTATGTTTAGTATCACACACACTCGAAGATCTATAGGCGAAAACGAACCAGTGGGCAGAAAAAGCGGGTAATGAAGACAGGATTTCAGTCGAACACATAGAGGGCAGAGGTGATGAACATAACTGACCACCACCAACAAGAACATGCACCAGTCGCTATCAAAGGGAGAAATTTGAAGGAAATCACTTCTATCACCTATCTAATTAGCGTCTTCCCAAATACAGGTGGCACAGACGAGGATTTCCAAGCCATGCGGGATCACAAAGTTGATACAGGCCTTCATTATTCTGAAAGCAGTAAATAAATCTACTGCACTAAACATTAGGTTTACGATTCGGTTAGTCAGTCAAAGCTTCTATATGGTTCAGAGACGTGGCGTACGAAAAAGAACTTACAAAATGCCGCTTGAAACTTTTAACAGCAGCTTGATACGGATGATTAGAGGGCCAGCCAGAAAGGATGAGTAACATGGAACTCCGGCAAAGAACCAATCAAGAACCCATCGCCCAGCAAATTAGCTGAAAGAAATCGAGATAGATAGGACACAGTCTGGTGAGATCTTTGGATGGAACGCGAATGGGAAGCGACAAGTTTTGCATCTGAAGGTGACATGAAGGAGATCGTGGGAGGAGGATGTGACAGCCTATGGGCATTCCTGAAGCCAGTTAAAGGGGGCTGTAGAAAAGTAGATAAAATAAAGATATTCCCCACTCGAAACTCAAGGAAATAGTAATAATAATGAAGTCAAGTTCATTTTAACTTTTATGCTGAATTGATAACAGATATAGCAGGTTAAATCCACTAGTTACAGGAGTGACTACACACTTGTAATGAATCATGATCTAACTCTGCCAGAAAGCTAAGGTCATCAAAAGAAACAGTTTGCTACTTCCCTAACTAACCTACGACTTGGCCAATGACTGAATATCAATGAAATGCTCCCTGGCGGCTGGCCCTATTCAAGCAGTTAACCTGAAGTTCTAGTGGGAAGCCCTGATCAGTAGCGTACAGCAGGTTGAAGATGAGAAGACTCTGCGAAGTAGTCGCGCTGTGCCATGAATTGGCAGTAATTAGAATTCATGGACGGGCTACTGGATAGGGTTCCAGCGGCTTAATGGTATACGAGCTAGCTCGCCTTGTAACCAACAGGTCCTGAGTTCAAACCCTGGCGGTGGGTACGTACTGCTGAATAAGAGTCCAAAACTAGCCCAGTAATCCCTGCAGGTTTTCCAATGGTTCTCTAACTGTTGTCAGCTCATGATAAAATCCTGTAACTAATCAGTCAAATCCCTACAAGCCAATACATTTAGCTAATTACAAACAATTTGTTAGTATCATGTTACAGTTCAACTCTTGAGGGAACCCTTGTTGAAAAAAATGAGTTTTCTTCTTTACTTCAACTTTTCATTTAACGCGCCAATTTTTTTCAATTGGAATTAAAACAAAAAGGCAAGTAACACTAATTTTTGGTTGTTTTTTTCAAAATTTATTTTAAATTACTTTATGAATAAAATCAAAATGCATCTTATAATTGATAATGTTTACTAATTATAATACTTATCATGAGTCACAAAATAACACAATCAACATCACCATGATCGTCATTAAATGAAGTTGAATATGTATGTATGTATGTATATATATAAATATATCAGTTACATTCTCGAGTATTTTTTTTCGTGATGTATGAATAACAATAGTGTATTTAAACAAATATCTATGGAAACCATTGAAATTTGAATACATATATATATGTATATATGTACGGAGTTTAATAATGATAGCGTTTATCGTAGGAACTATAACGTCTTGGTAGAGCATCATGTTGCTGTTGTGTATGATGATGTTGATGCTGATGATGATTGGCGTTACGATGAGAGTTAACAGTAGTCTTTGATGAATGTGTTGATCGAGCTGGTGATGGCCCGTTGGATGAAAAATGTAATCCACTGGTATGTGATGTGGTTGTTATTGTACTTAAATTACCATTAGTAGTATTACGATTACTAGTACTATTATTATTATTAGTATTATTATTATTATTACTAGTACTACTACTATTACTATTATAACTATTCCCATTTGGTACTTGATCAAATGTATTAAAACGTTCGTGGAGTTTACGACGTACTCTAGCTCTTGTTAAATTATCCATATCATTGAGATTTAATTTATCTGTGTCTAATTTCGCTAGGTATTCTTCAGATGTTGTATGTGATGATATATCTGAATAGGTAATAATTGTATGGATGCCACGTGGACGTGTATTTGTCTCTTGATTAACTGTTGCGATTGAATCTGTATTACACGCGCGTGTACGATATTGTTTAATGGCTGGTTGATGACTAACTGACTGATCATTGTTTTGTGCTTCATGATGTTGTAATTTATAAATACACGAATCTTTTGATTCATTGATATCGCTTAGTGTAATATCAGTTTGACAAGCTGTTGAATTGATACATGGTCTGTGGAATTAAAATATTAGAGAATAAATGAAAAATAAAATGATTAGTAAGAGAATATGATTAATTGTCAAAAGACGAATGACCTCTTCTAAATAACTAACAATTTGTGATTATTCCCTTGAGTCCCGAGTGGGACGTGGGGCTAGCTTCAGCAACACATCTCCACTTACATCTATTTCCCTGCGTTCTCTTCATCTGGGTCGATGAATGAACCATAATCTCTGATCTTATACAACTCGCCACACGATCTCGTCCATGTCACTCTTGCACTGACGACCCATTCGTCGTTCCCCATTGGGAATCCACTTGAGCGATGGCCTGCATTGAGCGCCATGTCATTCGATGGTCTCCTCAATGTATGCCCAATCAAGCCATCTGCATTTTCTCCCACATATTCATTGAGCAATCGTCTCTCGCCTGTTGGTTTGTTACCAGCAAGAGTTTCTTGTGACTGATTCTTTCTGCCCCATTTGACCTTCAGTACGAAGCGAAGGCTTTTTGTGACATGCAGTGCAAGTTTCTGGTGTTGAAAATTTGGCTCTTGTTCCTTATCCTGAGTGTAGAAGTTTTTCAAACTGATTTCAGATTGATGAAGGTGTATACTGCCTTTCTGATTCTGACTGACTTTGACATCTTCATCCGTTCCGGCTTCCTGTAGTTGAAACGATGCTTCCTAGATAAATGAACGAGAAAACGTCTGTTCAGTCTCTCCGTTGATAGTGACTGGTGCTGGTTATTGTTGTTGCCGTTATCTTCATCACTTCCGTCTTCTCTATGTGCACTTGGAATCTTGTTTTCGCTGCATGACACTATGTACTACTGATTGACTGACATGAGTAGTAGTATATAACCAAACATCCACTGGTACTACTTGCTAGATCAAAGGGACCTGGACATACCAGACTGTCGTTTCACCCTTTTTAAGGCTGATATGAGTGATGTATAATTACTCATCACAACCAATCAGTAGTATACAGTTTCAGTTAGTTATGCTTGGTTTCCTGAATACTATTTTATCGCACCAAGCAGATTAGATATTGGGCTGACGTAACTACCTTGGACAGTGTAAATTGTGAATTTGATTTGTGGTGTCAACAGTTCATCCAAGTGGCTAACAAGGAATCGAGTGGTTTCAAATGATTTATCTCTCTGAAATGAGTGAAGCCTATTCTGCAGCTGATGAGCCTGGCTCTAATCGAGTGAAACCGCCTACTGGTAATTAAATTAGTTCTATCCAACTGGTCAACAAATACTACTGGTTGATGTTAGAAGTACACAGTACATTGTGATCTGAATACATTTAGTTACCAAAAGAGACTGTGATAACTGAAAATTGCGAATTTTACTTTATCCTCAATAAGTTTTATTGGACGGTGGGATGAATCCAGTCTTATTGTAATGACAGAAGACAAGGGCCAGGCAACAGATCGTTTAATGAGAAAATCAACAGATATTTATAGATTTTTGTGTACATTATTATTCTCTATTGTCAGTAGAGAAGCAACGTCTTGTGATTGGTTGTTTTCCTGCTGAAGGTTATTCTGTCATCTCTTTGTTGCCGTTTCTGAGACAGTCCGGTTATATATTTGCGAATCGTATCCGCCCACGCTTGGTCTGCTGTGTTTGGTTGTTGAGTTCCTCAAAGTACGGCTTTGTTTTTGTTTTCTCCCAAGACGCCGATTTGGGACGTAAACATCGACATCAATTGTTGTTTACAATTTTATCTTGTAGACAGCTCTCACAATATTATCTTGTGGAGGTTATTTACCAAAGTCACCAAATGATACTAACGGTGGTCTGCGGATAAATGGTGTTTTATATTATTCTGATACTGTCAACTGACTAACTACAGTACGAAGTTGCCTGGAGATCTAGTGAGAAGTCATGACCGGTCAGATCCACCATGTTGGGTGTGATGACATACAGTAGCAGACGACAGTAGCTCGTGGTCGCGTTTTATGTCCCTAATTAGCAGAAGTTAGAATTTATGAGCCATTAGATTCCGTCCAAGTGGTCAAATTGTAAATAAGCTAGCCTTTTAACCTGAAGGTCCTGTAAACCTTGGATTTCCAGTGGGCTCATGGGTAAGTATTGTCGAAAAGCCCCGAAATATGACTAAATATCAGTTGCATCTGAGAATTTTAAAAACACCGCTGATCATAAGCAGACTCATTGGAGAGATTCAATGAGGACAGAAATGTAAAAAAGCAGAACATCAGTCTCCAGTCCACTGATGGATAATGGTTGGATGTTCTGAATCTTTATTAAGAAGTCATAACCTCCGGGTTCCACCATGGATGCATTTTGAATGCATTGGTTGAAGACATCACCATATATCACGAGTTAGGGTTCACGGGTCACTGAATCCCAGCGCAAATGGCTGAATGGCAGATGAGCTTGATCTCGTAACAGGAAGATCATAGGTTCGATTCTTTGGCTTCGTCGTAAGTCCACTCTACTGAAAAGTCCAAAACAAGGACGAAATTGCTGTCTTGTACTTCTTAGTTTCCAACTATCTCTAACTGATGTTGGCTCTTGATGGCTAATAGTAGCTTCATTTTGAACAGTATTTACACAACCTGCATAATTTTCAGCGGAATTCATTGGACAATAATTTCTCCGTCTGCACGATCTTCAAGTAAAGTAGTAGTCGACTGTAGATCACTTATGATATTTCTTCTTTGTCGCCTTCAAGAAATACATGATACCTGGTTGAAACCCACTTAAAAAAGGGGCAAGAGTACATTCTTTTACCCAGGGACACAATAGTTAAATAATTGATGACTGCAGGTAATCCATTTTATTTCTCAGGCGGTGGTAGTTTGTACTAAAAATCCCAGGAGGTATTGAAATAAGCCGCCATCTACGACCATACACTTTCTCAAGTTTAGTAATAAATTGCTCATGAGGAGATCGTTAACATTTTAAATTCTCGCGAAAGTAAACAATACAGTTACAGGTCATACTTTTAGTCGATTAAAACAAAGTGTACTAGAAAAATTATATACAATGTAATGATTGCGTATTTTGGTAACCTGGGTTTTAAACAGGCCGCCTATTTTTGAATTTAAAAACAGAAAAAAAATAAACCCTTCAATTCTGATAGTCAACAACTTACCGATTAGCTAATTCCAGTGATGATGCAGGTGAACTGCTTGACGAGGAAGCACACTCTAATGGCATTGACAAATCTTCATAATTCTCTTCGTCATCATCGTCATCGTCATCATCATCATCGTCGTCGTCGTCATCTCCATCACCGGCTTCATCCTCGACATCATCGTCATCATCATGATTCACGGTATTCATATTCTTCACAGTCATTTCATTTGTTAAATAGCCTAAATTAACACTACCTGGTCTAAAATAGATCTGTGCTGTGATTGGATTGAATTTCTCGGTGATTAAATTCAGCTGATTCAATTCAGCAATTTTTTGATATAAAGTTGTTCTAGCCAACAATAGTTCCATATCTTGATTGTCTAATGAATTAGCAATATCTTTGAATAAATTCTCAGCAATTTCAATATGATGTTCTTGATCTGGTTGATTTTGTATTTGGCGCATATTTCGCTCACCGATGAATTGATGCAGTTCATTGATTAAGTCTTGTTCATGTCGTTGAATCTAAAAGTTATTGGAAAAAGAAGGTGTTTTTTTAATGAAGGCATTGTTTTTTCTTTAAAGTGTTCAATGATCAATGAAATTTGTTTATATGCATTACTGTTAGCTGTTTTAATCGAGCGCGGGTATTTATAGATTATAGGAGGAGAGTCATTCCGTCTGACACATTGACATGAATTATGAAATACACACATTTTAGGAATGAGATACTAAGGTTATGAGTGACAAAGTGACCATCACAAGAAGTGATGATCCTTAGACATACCTATATCGTATAGACTTTCGGAATCCTAAATCCATTGTGTATCGTTATCTCAGCCTAAGCAAGATTGAAAAAGGTAATGCAGTGCCCTTCGAGTTTTACCTGTTCTGAATAATTTCAGAACACGATTTAAACAAACATGTATTTACGAGAAAATTCTCGCCTCGATGACAAATAATAAAATATTATTATTAAAGTCCCTTTGGGTTCCGAGTGGAACAACACATCCATCTCCAACAACACATCTCCACTTTGTTCTCTTCTCTCCTCGTCAGCTGGACCACGATTGCCTATAATCTGTCACCTCCTCCTCGCACGATCTCCGTCACGTCAGCCTCGGATGACTCACCCGTCGTTGATCATTCGGATTCTACTTGAGCAATGGCCTGCTTTGAGCTCGATGTCACTCAACAGCCTCCTCAGCCTGTTACCAGTCCATTGCCAGTCTCCATTTCCTACTTCAGATTTGTTGAGCAATCGTCTCTTGCCTGTTGGTTTGTAACCAGTCAGAGTTTCTTGTTGCTAATTCTTTCTGGCCATATTAGTCATAGGTGTTTGAAACAATATAGGTCAATAGAATCAAACAGAATATTAGCGGATGAAAACAGAGGCTCTAATAAAAAAAGTAATAACAATGGTGAATTTATTCAAATGTTTATACAGTCCAAGTAAGCGTATACTAGTAGGAGAGGCAGGGGAAAATAACTATAGCAATTAGATAATATTTTAATAAATTGTGCGTCGGTGGCACAGTGGTTAGGACTCTCGCCGACCATGCACATGGTCCGGGGTTCGATCCCCTGCCGACGCACACCCGATATCTATGGTCGGCCTGTGAAATTTGGGCTACCGATATGCATGCTGAAAATTCCATACTTGTACTGAAAATACGGTGTGGCATCAAGCTGTAATCAAAAAAAAATTAAAAATTAATTAAAATGTATAACTGTAACAGCAGATGGCAAGACACGAAAGCTAAGGTATATTTTTAAGTGATCAAACAGCTATTTATATCTGTGCAGTTTATGTTCTTTAAGCAATCCCTGAGCGTGCGATTTTGGTTTACATTCAACGAAATGAAATAGAATGTTCAAAAACGTAAATAATCCTGTTGCTAATGTAGTACTGAACTGTGGGAATATGTGAGAATATCATTCTCTTGGAATACATTGTCTGTATCACACCACCACACAAGTACAACACCACATAATATTGATAATACAGTTGACATTAAAAATAAGAATAAATAACTATTCTTGTTGGTAGTGAAGGGTGGGGGAGGGATAAAAATTGAACAGATTTTTTCTGAGCAGAGAAACTGCATTGAAATTTCTCTTTATCGCACCTGAGTCCACTATGTTTAGCAACTGAAGGCGTACAAATTTGGAGCATTGAGGTGGCCCCTTTTGTAGGAATTTAAAGATTTAACTTTTACCAATTTTGTGCTCCATGAGGTGTGACAATACTGAACTCATGATTAAATTTACGACTCCTTTACCTAACCATATTGGATAGTGCTCAAGAAGACGACACTGAGGTTTCTAAGTCGTTCTACCTATGCAAATGTCTCTCGCAGAACAGTTAAATTTTATGAGTGGACATTAAAGTAGCCAGATTCAGTAGCTTAGCCTTCACCTGGGCTGGATTTATACAAGTGGTGAATTTTAAACACAGTGTTGCGGCAAAGAATGTTTTATCTATTATTTTTTGGATATTGGATGTCATTAATTCGGTGACTGCGTCTCCTTTGAACGGCAAACTCCTATATATATATATATATATCTTCTGCACAGTCAGAAGGTGAGGCAGTAACTAACTCATCGAAGAAGACGTTGCGAAGTGGTCGCGCTATGACATGAATTGGCAGAAGTTAGAATTCATGGACGGGCTATTGGATCGGCTCCCAGTGGCTTAATGGTCTAAGGGCTAACTCGCCTTGTAACGAGAAGGTCGTGAATTCGAATCCTGTTGGTGGGTACGTACTGCTGAATAACAGTCCCGAACTAAGCTGGCGAAACAGCTGTTCAGTACTCCCAGTTGGTGTTCCAATGGTTCTCTAACTGATGTCAGCTCATGATGAAATCCCTCAACTAATCAAACAAAATTCCCTACAAAACCAAAACCAATACTTGGTAATTAGAAGCAACAAGTTGGGTAACCAAAATTGACATAAAAAAGATTATGTGTGGAGGGGATGTAAACTTATGGACAGTTTTGATATCATTAGCTGAAATGGATGGCAGAGAGCTAGGGAGAGACAATCAAGATTTGCGTCTGAGGTCGTATATTGCAATCAAAACAGAAAGAATGATTAATAATGATAAGTTTATAAAGAATGAAATAATAAGGTTAATATAAAATTATTATTCGAAGGCAAATATTCTCTATTTAGATTGTCGAATTTTGGGAAAACTTGGATTAATCTACTTTCAGTTATTAGATTTCATCATGAAATAACATTAGCTGAAGAGATCACTGAAAACCAAGCAGTAGTGCACAGTTGTCCCCTACAATATCCGGAGAATCTTCAGCAGCAGCCACCTATGAATCCAGTGGGGATCGAACCCTGGACCTTCAGGTTCTGAGACCAAGCCTGTTGATCATTCAACGACTTGAGCTTAAATTCAGTGACTCTTGAATTTTAACTGTTTCATGAAGTGTTTACTCGTAGAAGGCACTGGTGAGGGTAGCGTTGTAACATGGGTCACTGAATTCCTGTGTAAGTAACTGAATGGTCGACAAACTTGGTCTCATAACTTGAATGGCCTTGAAGAGGTCGTGTATTTTCAATGTTGAAGAGTCCTAAATTGGGATGAAACAGCTGTTCATTGCTGTCTACATTTCAGTGGTCTTTCTAACAGATGTTATTTGGTTGGCAATTCAGTACCGAGTTCCATTTTCACTTGGATTATTGCCACTTACAAAGAATTTTTCACTTTTTTTTGGTTTTACTGTCAATCAACATAAACAATAACCTAAAAAGTAGATAAAATGTTATCTGCACTTTAAATCTTTGAAGAAAAAAAGAATGAAGTTTTATGCACCATAACGGGTTGTTTTATGCATACTTAAAATTCTATTTTATGAAAATAAGTATATTTCATCTTTATGCCTTTTTTTATTCTTGGTAGTTTGGAAAAAATGAAAGTGCTTGTTAGCATTCGTCAGCCGATTACCTCCAACCATCCACTTAAAAAATTTCAGAGCCAATTAGTAGCATGATGACTACATTGCAAACTTGACTGCTAGAATTCAGTCTACACCAAACAAAGGAGTAGAAAAATGATACTAGTTACTCCTTGGTGTGTAATGAAATCAAGATAGTATGTCTTGGACATGTGCGATTCATTTCCAGGTGAATTTAGATGATAACGAATTCATGAAAGTAACTTTTCCATGTAGAAATATATTAATAAAAAAGAATCATACCATGTATTAAATATGTGTTAAATATTTCAATATGTATTGCAAACCAAATATGTGGATTAAATTGAAATATTTAAATATTTGGGCGCTCGAATAGCTCTATGATAACGTCTACTGCAGTACCGAAAGATGCGTTTCTGAGTCTATAAAAAGGCAGATATGTCTTCGTCCCGATAGCTAAATAGTCAGTGGACTAGCCTCATAACGTGAATGTCTTGGGTTCAGTGGTCGGTGAGGCTATGGTTGTGAACGACTGCAGAGACTAGTGAAATAATTACTAACAAGTTAAAAAAATCTGTTCCAAGAACTTTTAATGATTTTATGCTACAAGACAATTTCTACACGACCGGTTGTGATACCTCGATGGAAAGATGAAGTGCTTAGACTAGCCACTTCTAATTGTATCTACAAATTCAACTGCACGTGTGGTGGAGCAAGTTATATCGGCTGTTGTTCTAGGAACCTGATTTTCCGTGCTCGCTCGGGAACATCTATCAGTGTTGTGGCTAAATAAAGGTGTAATAAAAACCATCAACTGTTCGATATTAGATCACCTGGTCCAAACTAGCCACAAACCCAGCCACCATTGAAGAATCCTCCTCTATCATCTACTGGGTACCAAATGAACTGCCAAAAACATCAAGTTACCGCACACTCAAAACATCAGAGGCTATCGCGTTCATTTTAAACAACCGGTGACAGCCACTACTACTGCCCTGGCTGGCCTTCAGTGGAGACTGTAAATTCATGAATTTGTATTATTATCCTTCCCAATATTTTTAATATTCAGTGTGTATTGTTATGTTGAGCCTATTGAACTGTAATCCATTGATATAATTATTACTATTGATTCGATGTTATTTAAACAGCAATAATGTTGTTAACAACACTAATTGATTCATTTTAATGCATATATAACTGTAGAAGCTACATGATGATGAAGTTATAGAAAAGGATAGTAAGCTTATTTCGGACTTATGACCCTTATATGCAAAAACAAAACTACAGGTACAAAAATTTGAAAGTTTAAAGCTGTATGTTTCAACCAAAATGCAAGGGACGACAAAACATTTTAGTATGTTTATTAAACGGATTCGATAGTACTGTCCAATAATCATTCTTATATTATTTTAAAGATGTTTTTACGTTAATACCGAGTAAATTATCCGATAAACAGTCTTTAGTGCAACAAGTTTATTCACGGATTGATTTCATTTGAAGTACTATCGAAAACCAGCAGAGAGTACTAGAGAACTGTTTCGTCATAGTTTGGTGCTTTTTGGTAGCAGGCGGCCACTGGGTTTCGAACCCTGGA